TCCGGTTGTGCTGACCCTTGCGAATTCCCCAAATGTGGGAATCTCGACTGCATAGTTTCTGGTAGTGGGGGACTGCGTCCGCGCTCTCCCCTGATCTCATGTGGAAAGAAAAGAGTGGCCTCAGGTCTCTGCCTGTCCGGCCCTCACGGGCCCCGGACCGACCGACATCGGCGAGCACCCGGTAAGCATCCCCTGCTCCGGTCAGATCCTGATGCCACAGCCATCCTGCTTGCAATGGAAACACGGCTGCAGCCCCATCAACTCTTCAGCTCTTAAATCCTGTGTATCACAGTGCACTATGTCTCACTGCTAACGACACATTTCGCACTCATCACTGTTCCCTCTATTAAAAGGTTGCCTGGACCTCTTTACAGTCCAGACGCAATATCCGTCTCATGTTATTCATCTATAAAGCCCTTCTGCTGAAGCCTCCCAGCTACCTCACATCTCTTCTTTCATTTAAACCTGGTAGCTACAGAACACGATCCAGTAACTATCTAACCTTAGATATTCCATATACCCGTACTAATATTGGCAGAACTGGTTTCAATTACTATGCTCCCTTGAAATGGAATGAGCTGCAAACCGCTCTTAAACTGGAGCTTTTTTTTCATCTTGGAGATTTTAAATACCTGTTGTCTGATGTTTACAATAGTCGCTGTAACTGTTTTAACTGGTTCTTTTTTTGTTTGTTTGTTTGTTTGTATGCTGTGTTGTGTGTTGATTGTGAATGTTCCTTGTTCTCAGGCCTCTCTTGTATGAGAGATCTCGATCTCAATGAGACTGCCTGATAAAAAATGAAAATAAAGATATGTTGATACAAATTTCACGACAAGACAGATTAGCACATTGCTGAATACGTCAGACGTGATAATCAGTCATTTGTATCCTTTGCCTAAAGGAGTGCGGTTTTAAGCAGCATACGGTTGAGCAGGGTTTTAGGACAGAGGTCTGGGTCTGGAGGTCAGCGTCCTGCTCCTCAGACCTTTCCTTGGATTCCAGGCGTTCACACACACTGAGGACAGTAAATCTCAATTGGGAGACCAGGGTTGAGGCATGAGTAATTATTTAGATGGTCAGTGATAGAGTCAGTTTGAAAGGTAATGAACAACTCTGTCTCTGTTCTTGGCATTGACCAGTTGAGAAGAGCCAGAGGTTTGGGCCAACCTCCGGTTGTGTAACCTGAAAGTCCAAACAAGTCTAGAGAAATGTATAGGATCCTGTGTCCTGGGACCAGGTGAGGAACTTTCCCCGCGAGGAAGGAAGGTGTGAGTTTCACACACTGGCTTGTCTCGACGCTACGTTGCGATTTACCGGTGTACACTGTAAAGCAGCACAGAGCCTCTATTACAGAGCTGCCAGAGCAGTAGGTGGCAGTGGCAGGGTTTTCCACCAGCAATGGACAAAGACCGACCAGGAAGTTTGGTGTAGCTAAAGTTGCAAGGACCCAACTTTTCAACATAGCTTTGTTTGCTGACGTTGCTTCCCCTGTCACTCCTTGACCTGGCGCAGAAGGCTCAATTTGGGTCTCCTGGAGTGCTGTTGGCGTAAGTGAGATGAAATGGACCGTTAGCGGGAGGCACAGTGCGGAGAGTGTGTGTCTGCCCTCCCACCTCCGTGCAGCATCGCTTCTCGGCCTTTTGGCTAAGATCAAGTGTAGTATCTGTTCTTATCAGTTTAATATCTGATACGTCCCCTACCCGGGGACCATATATTAAATTGATTTTTGGAGCTGGGAGATGGAATAGGGGCTTGCTCCGTCCACTCCACGCATCGACCTGGTATTGCAGCACCTCCAGGAACGGTGCACCCCCCTCTCTGTGGTGAAATGACAAAGGTTGCTGTGTCTGGGTCAGCTGCTGTTGAGAATTTTGCAAAGGCCGCGATCCGCCTGTCTTGTTTTAATGCGCCAGAGTCCGCATTCTATGGGTGCCATGCGCTATGACAAAGATTTGGATGGTCTAACCAGTGCGTGGTCACCAGTGGGTTGAGCTGACGCAGTCAAGAAACACTAAGTCTGCAGTCAGTCAGCTTTTGTTTGTGTTAACTGATGCAAAAATACCTAGCTTGCGCTGCAGCATTGTAAACTGTAAGGCAGTTTCAAGCCTTGCTGGGCAGTTCCTTGTGACATATGGTTTTGTGGACCCCTCCCCCCCACACACACACACAAACACCCTTTGACTTAGATGGTCAGCACCATCGGTCAGTGTGATATGGCAGTGAATGCGTTGCGTGTCTCTGAGCTCTGCAACTCATACTTACCTGGCAGGGGAGATACCATGATCACGAAGGTGGTTCACCCAGGGCGAGGCTCAGCCATTGCACATCCGGTTGTGCTGACCCTTGCGAATTCCCCAAATGTGGGAATCTCGACTGCATAATTTCTGGTAGTGGGGGACTGCGTCCGCGCTCTCCCCTGATCTCATGTGGAAAGAAAAGAGTGGCCTCAGGTCTCTGCCTGTCCGGCCCTCACGGGCCCCGGACCGACCGACATCGGCGAGCACCCGGTAAGCATCCCCTGCTCCGGTCAGATCCTGATGCCACAGCCATCCTGCTTGCAATGGAAACACGGCTGCAGCCCCATCAACTCTTCAGCTCTTAAATCCTGTGTATCACAGTGCACTACGTCTCACTGCTAACGACACATTTCGCACTCATCACTGTTCCCTCTATTAAAAGGTTGCCTGGACCTCTTTACAGTCCAGACGCAATATCCGTCTCATGTTATTCATCTATAAAGCCCTTCTGCTGAAGCCTCCCAGCTACATCATATCTCTTCTTTCATTTAAACCTGGTAGCTACAGAACACGATCCAGTAACTATCTAACCTTAGATATTCCATATACCCGTACTAATATTGGCAGAACTGGTTTCAATTACTATGCTCCCTTGAAATGGAATGAGCTGCAAACCGCTCTTAAACTGGAGCTTTTTTTTCATCTTGGAGATTTTAAATACCTGTTGTCTGATGTTTACAATAGTCGCTGTAACTGTTTTAACTGGTTCTTTTTTTTGTTTGTTTGTTTGTTTGTATGCTGTGTTGTGTGTTGATTGTGAATGTTCCTTGTTCTCAGGCCTCTCTTGTATGAGAGATCTCGATCTCAATGAGACTGCCTGATAAAAAATGAAAATAAAGATATGTTGATACAAATTTCACGACAAGACAGATTAGCACATTGCTGAATACGTCAGACGTGATAATCAGTCATTTGTATCCTTTGCCTAAAGGAGTGCGGTTTTAAGCAGCATACGGTTGAGCAGGGTTTTAGGACAGAGGTCTGGGTCTGGAGGTCAGCGTCCTGCTCCTCAGACCTTTCCTTGGATTCCAGGCGTTCACACACACTGAGGACAGTAAATCTCAATTGGGAGACCAGGGTTGAGGCATGAGTAATTATTTAGATGGTCAGTGATAGAGTCAGTTTGAAAGGTAATGAACAACTCTGTCTCTGTTCTTGGCATTGACCAGTTGAGAAGAGCCAGAGGTTTGGGCCAACCTCCGGTTGTGTAACCTGAAAGTCCAAACAAGTCTAGAGAAATGTATAGGATCCTGTGTCCTGGGACCAGGTGAGGAACTTTCCCCGCGAGGAAGGAAGGTGTGAGTTTCACACACTGGCTTGTCTCGACGCTACGTTGTGATTTACCGGTGTACACTGTAAAGCAGCACAGAGCCTCTATTACAGAGCTGCCAGAGCAGTAGGTGGCAGTGGCAGGGTTTTCCACCAGCAATGGACAAAGACCGACCAGGAAGTTTGGTGTAGCTAAAGTTGCAAGGACCCAACTTTTCAACATAGCTTTGTTTGCTGACGTTGCTTCCCCTGTCACTCCTTGACCTGGCGCAGAAGGCTCAATTTGGGTCTCCTGGAGTGCTGTTGGCGTAAGTGAGATGAAATGGACCGTTAGCGGGAGGCACAGTGCGGAGAGTGTGTGTCTGCCCTCCCACCTCCGTGCAGCATCGCTTCTCGGCCTTTTGGCTAAGATCAAGTGTAGTATCTGTTCTTATCAGTTGCTGCACTGTTCTGGCCACAAGGCTTTGACAGCGGTCGCCTCCAATCGGCCTTGTGTGGTTTTGTCTCTGTGACCTGACCACCACTTGATAGGAGGTAAACTAACACATTCCTGTCAAAGGTACTCCCAGAACCTTTTGCTGGTAGCACATTTAGACAGGAATATAAGGTGCGCGAAGAAGGAGTCCTAGGTTTTTCAGGTAAGTGCAATAACTTTTTTTCCTGAATAGATTGTCTGTTCCAGGTGCCTCCACCATGTCGGCTTCCAATGCCGGCGTGCGGAGGCACCACACAGTCCGCTTCATGTTCCGCGAGAATGATGGAAAGCTGTTGCAGATGTAAAGGCTTGATTTCTCAAGGAAACTGATTCAAAGATCCCTCGGTTTTAAACCAGATGAAATCAATTGTATTGTCACCTTGCCCCTGAACAAAGGATTTGACCTGAGCTTTCGTTCAGCTGTATTGCTAAACAACTTCTGGACACGATATGAAAGTGTGAAAACCCAGTTTTCTGCATTTAATGTTGAGAGACTGACTGATAATGCCTTAAAGACGGTTATTGTCAGAATGTTCAATGAGACTGTGAATGCAGAAGACATTTGCATGTGGCTGGGGAGATATTGCACGGTTAAAGGCCAGGCTATGAAGGTGAGAGATGAGGATGGCATTTGGAATTGTGCTTGGAGGGTCCCCATCCAACAATGGCAGGACCCCCAAGGCTTCCAAGGCCTGAAACATCTGCCATCTGTGATAGTCCTGGGGAATAACCGGGGCTATATTCATTACCAAGGCCAGCCCAAACTCTGCCGCAAGTGTGGTGAGCATGGGCACCTTGTGGAAGCGTGCCAGAAGACCATTTGTACGAAATGCAGAGAAATTGGTCATACCTTTGAGGAATGTACCAATGGCAGAAAGTGTAATCTCTGTGGTGACACAAATCACCTCTTTAGAGATTGTCCAAAGTCTTTTGCCAACAAATTGAAGGCTGCAAAAAGAATGGAAAAGGAAAAGGAAACAGAAAAGGAAAAGGAAAATGGAGTGGAAAATGGCGGACCAGACAAATTGTTTAGTGAGCTTTTTGAGGAGCTTGGGCAGTTAAATTCAAATTTCCCTCCAAAACCCCTGACTGGAGAAGAAGGGTCAGGTGAGGAGGGAAAGAGGGAGGAGCCAGCTCCTGCTCCACAGGCAGAGTCTGTGGAGGATAATGGAGCTGTGCAGGCAGAGGGTGGAGCTACCTCAGAAACACCAAAAACTAACAGCAAGGACTCCACCCTTCCCAATGCCCAAGCCAAGAGACCTTTGTCTGAATTGTCCTCTGAGTCTCCCGTAGTCTCAGAGAAAAGGAGAAGAGCTGGGAGCTCCTCAGACAGTTCATCTGTGGAGGATCTCAGAGTCTTCCCCTCCGATTCACCCAATGAGGTCTCTTTTCTCAATATAGCTCTGCAATCAACCCCTAGAAGGGCTGTTAATATAATGCATGGTCTACCTGTAGGTAGACCTGTAGAGCCTGTAAGGGAATTGGAGCTCAGTTCAGTCACTCTCCCCCCATGAGAGTGAAAGAAGAGCTCCTCTGACAAATTGATTGCCCTTTATTTTTAGCATTTTAAATGTCGTACCTGTTGTTTTTAACCATACTTATGGCTCTCACCTTCTCTACCATCAATGTGAGAAGTGTGAAGTCGCATGTTAGAGCCCAAGCCGTTTTATCATTCCTTTATTCTCTGAAGTCAGATGTGTTTTTATTACAAGAGTGCGGATTGCCTTTTAAGACCAGTTACACAGAGTGGGAGAAACTTTGGCCACATACATCCCTATGGAGTGGATCCAACCAAAATAAAAATGATGGCGTGGCCATTTTAATCAAAAACCCCCAGGTCTTGGTGAAGGGCAGCACCGTGGTGAGAGATGGCAGGGCACTTTTAGCACACCTGACTTTTATGGGGAAGGATTTTAATTGTTTAAATATTTATGGTTTTAACGACAAAAATGACAGGTATGACCTTTTAGAAGACTTGCAATCCCACATGCTAGGCAGGCTGCCACTGATTTTAGGAGGGGATTTTAATTGTATTTTATGTAGGAAGGATAGGAAAGGAGCAGGGGAGGATTTTAAAGTTGACAAAACATCAGTTTTATTGGGGGCTATATGCAGGGATTTTAAATTACTCGACTGTTTTAAAGTCATGCATCCCAGAGAGGAGGGCTTCACCTGGTTCAGTGGTGATGGCACCAAAGCCTCTCGCATAGATTATATTTTATCAAGAGATTGCCCGCCAACTGATGCTAGAGTAACCCCTGTTTTCTTTTCAGATCACGCTATGCTTTCCTGCACCCTTTCACTCCCTTCTGGTGTGACTTCTGGGAAGGGTCTGTGGAAACTCAACTGCTCCCTGTTAGAAGAAAGGGAGATTGTCAGGCAGTACAGGGAGCAGTATGAAGAATGGCAGACCCTTCAAGACTTTTACGAGACACGCGCACACTGGTGGGAAATGGTGAAGGGAAGGACCCAGACTTTTTTAGGCAAGCTGGAAAAAGGAAAAAACAAAAAGAACATAGACGCATGCTGGGATTGCAAAAAAGACTACAAAGATATTTTAACCAAAATCATAATGGAATGGATTTTAATGAAGAAATAAAGGAAGTTAAATTACAAATGTCAGCCTTGGCTGACATCAAGAGTAAAGGTGTCATTCTAAGAAGCAAAGAAAAGGAAATAGAAGAAGGTGAAAAGTGCACCAGATACTTTTTTAAGAAAATCATAAAGACAAAACAATACTCAAACTTAAGAAAGAAAATGGTGGCATATCAGAAACAACAGAAGAAATAAAAGAAACAGTGACCTGCTTTTATGAAAAACTATATAAAGAAAAACCTATTGAACATGATACCTTAAAAGAAGTTTTGAAATTCATAGAACATACAATTGAAGAAAGTGTGCTTTTATCCCAAGATTTTAACATTTTAGAACTTGAAACCTGCCTAAAAGGTTTTAAGAGGGGGAAGTCCCCAGGGCATGACGGACTTCCCCTGGAATTTTATTTGACTTTCTGGGACATTTTAGCACCTGACCTTTTGACAGTTTTTATGGATTTTGAAAAACTTGACAGACTTCCTGACAGTTTTAGATTAGGGATAGTGACTCTCCTTTTTAAAGACAAAGACAAGACAGACCTAAAAAACTGGAGACCTATCACCCTTTTAAATTTTGACTGCAAACTTTTTAGTAAGCTTTTATCATCTCGTATGTCTGTGTTTTTAGAGGGGCTGATTCACCCGGATCAAGCCTGTGCCGTCCCGGGGAGGAAGATCACCGACAGCCTGATACTGATCCGAGACACCATCTGTTTAGCGAGAGACAGAAACATTCGGCTAGTAGTCCTCAATTTAGATTTTGAAAAGGCCTTTGATCGGGTCTCGCACCAGTATCTTTTCCAGGTACTGCAAAAGATGGGGTTCCCAGAGAGGTATATAGCTTGGGTGGGACTGCTGTATAGGGACATCATCAGCAAATTTGTGGTTAACGGGCATCTAACAAATGCAGTTCAAATAAACTGCGGTGTCCGTCAGGGTTGTCCGTTATCTGCCCTCCTCTATGTCCTCTGCATTGAACCCCTGGCGCAGATCTTGAGAAGGGACCAACGGATCAAAGGGGTGGGGATACCAGGGAGCGGAGGACTGACCAACAAATGCATTTTATACATGGACGACATCAACATTTTATGTACTGACCTTTTACCAGTTTACAGAACCCTTGACATGACTGACTTTTTTGGACGGGCCTCTGGATCAAGACTCAACAGACAAAAGACCCAAGCCCAATTTCACGGACCTTGGACGGCGACTGAAATGACTGGACTCCCCTTGACTGTGACCCAGACGGAACAGAAAATCCTTGGGGTAAAATTTGACAGGGAGGGGGGAGGAAAAACAAATTGGCCAGACAAAGTAGGGAAAGTTAGACAGAGACTGGGGTTTTGGAGACAAAGACAACTGACTTTGGAAGGGAAGGTTTTAATTATTAAAGCAGTGATTTTACCTTTGCTTTTATTGATTGGCTCTGTTTTTATCCCTCCTCGACATGTGCTTTTAGAACTGGACCGTACAATTTTTTATTTCCTGTGGGGGACCAAGTGGGAGAGAATCAAGAGGGAGACGATGAAAAAAAACAAAGAAAAAGGAGGAAAAGGAGTGCCGGACCTTGGCCTGTTTTTAAAAAGCAGATATGCTTCGCTGGCGATCAGGGCTGCCATGGCCCCATCCAGAAACCCCAAAACAGCTGCCCTTACAAGATTCTGGATGGGGTCATACCTGCAAAGACTAAAAATCTTACCTGTGGACCTGAGAATTCCAGTGTCCTTTAACCTTCCCCCTGCATATCTTTTAATTCAGAAATTTTTAAAACATTTTAAACTTGAAGAAGAACAGCTGGACATTTTAACTAACCACCGTTCTCTCATTTCTGTTGTGCAGGAGCGGGAGCCAGTGAGTCCAGTGCGTGGGCTTGCACTCGGTGAGCCCTCCACAGTTTGGCGCAATGTGAACCATCCTGCTCTTCCAAACAGACTCCGGGACCTGTCATGGATGGTGGCTCATGAGATCCTCCCAGTCAGGTCTGTTATGCACTCCCGGGGCATGTCAACGTCCTCACTTTGCCCCCGACCAGGTTGTGGCGCGCCTGAGTCGGTGAGGCATCTGCTCTGGGAGTGCAGCGCTGCTGTAGAACAGTGGGCACTGGCCGGCACCTTGCAATTCCCGTGCTTACCAGCAAGGGAGGTCCTCACAGCACAGCTAGTGCTTTATGGAGTGAGCCATGAACAGCAGCCGCCAAAGGACTTTTCCCAACAATGGCTCACTCTAGCCGCCATCAAGGACGCCATATGGACCTCCAGGAACTTGCTGGTAAGGAAGCACAAGCAGATCCCCCCGTGGCTGTTCTCCGGATGGCAGCAGCAACGGTCACAATGGCCGGGGCTGCAGGCGGCAGGCCTAGGAAACAGCCACAAAGAAGAATCGCCTCTGTGCCCATTCGGACGAAGGAGCCGGAGCTACACGGGAAAAGTTCAAAGCAGCAGCAGCCTGGCTCTCCGGGAGTGGCAGGCGGGAAGGAGCAGCAGGGTGGGGGTCTCCTCTGAGCACCAAGGCAGGACCCCGAGAGACCACACCTGTTTGGTAGAGCAGAATGAGTTTTTTTTCTTGGTAGGGGCTTAACCCGCTCCTGCACAAAGAACCTAAGAAAGAACTTTTAACATGAATGCTCTTCTTTTAAGGTGGTTTTAACAACATGGACACTTTTTAAGACACAGAGAATTTTAACTCATCATTGCCTTTTAATTTGTTTTACATATCAACAATGTATTGTGTCTGAAAAATGTCTTTTTAAAACAAAAAAACATGTGTTCGATGTTGATGTAAATTGTCATCCCGCTTAGGAAAAGTCCAGTTCTGAAATAAGCACATAAATTGTTCTGTAACAATAAACCTTTTGAAAGAAAAATCTGTTCTTATCAGTTTAATATCTGATACGTCCCCTACCCGGGGACCATATATTAAATTGATTTTTGGAGCTGGGAGATGGAATAGGGGCTTGCTCCGTCCACTCCACGCATCGACCTGGTATTGCAGCACCTCCAGGAACGGTGCACCCCCCTCTCTGTGGTGAAATGACAAAGGTTGCTGTGTCTGGGTCAGCTGCTGTTGAGAATCTTTGCAAAGGCCGCGATCCGCCTGTCTTGTTTTAATGCGCCAGAGTCCGCATTCTATGGGTGCCATGCGCTATGACAAAGATTTGGATGGTCTAACCAGTGCGTGGTCACCAGTGGGTTGAGCTGACGCAGTCAAGAAACACTAAGTCTGCAGTCAGTCAGCTTTTGTTTGTGTTAACTGATGCAAAAATACCTAGCTTGCGCTGCAGCATTGTAAACTGTAAGGCAGTTTCAAGCCTTGCTGGGCAGTTCCTTGTGACATATGGTTTTGTGGACCCCTCCCCCCACACACACACACACAAACACCCTTTGACTTAGATGGTCAGCACCATCGGTCAGTGTGATATGGCAGTGAATGCGTTGCGTGTCTCTGAGCTCTGCAACTCATACTTACCTGGCAGGGGAGATACCATGATCACGAAGGTGGTTCACCCAGGGCGAGGCTCAGCCATTGCACATCCGGTTGTGCTGACCCTTGCGAATTCCCCAAATGTGGGAATCTCGACTGCATAATTTCTGGTAGTGGGGGACTGCGTCCGCGCTCTCCCCTGATCTCATGTGGAAAGAAAAGAGTGGCCTCAGGTCTCTGCCTGTCCGGCCCTCACGGGCCCCGGACCGACCGACATCGGCGAGCACCCGGTAAGCATCCCCTGCTCCGGTCAGATCCTGATGCCACAGCCATCCTGCTTGCAATGGAAACACGGCTGCAGCCCCATCAACTCTTCAGCTCTTAAATCCTGTGTATCACAGTGCACTACGTCTCACTGCTAACGACACATTTCGCACTCATCACTGTTCCCTCTATTAAAAGGTTGCCTGGACCTCTTTACAGTCCAGACGCAATATCCG